TCATGTTCTTCATATGTAGATGCCACTGGTTCTTCATGTTCTGCAGATGTAGATGCTACTAGTTCTTCATGCTCTGCAAATGTAGATGCTACTAGTTCTTCGTGCAACAGCTACATGGCATATGGACAGGTTTGTTTGTATCTCTGAACGTTCGTAAGTATAATGTTCGTAAGTAGAGGAGTCCATGTAGTCCCATTTGCATGCGTGACCTGGGTCGCCCAATGACGTCAGTAACAAAGGGATTTTCAGAATTGACTTTAATCAGTGATGAACACCTTCCCGCGACGGTTGTGCGGAACAGAACACGGAGTAGAACTATTTGTTTCTGTGGTACGGCCCATTAAATATATGAACAAATATAGTATGAGTCAGAGCGGGATTCAGAATCTTTATTTATCCTGGAGAAATCCGACGAGCTATGAAGCTTGTTTTTAACAGATGGCCAGAGGGAGCGGGTCAGAAAGTTACTACAGCAAACAATAAAAACGATATGCGTGCAAAGTATAGGAAAGGTAAGACAAATTTACTAACAATAAATACAATATATAAAGTATATAAGTCAAATAAATAGATACAATAGATAAAATATATAAAGAACTCGGGTAGCCGGGTTCGTAGCGCAGTGGGGGATAACCGCTACACGATCGGTCCCCACAGGCCAAGTTAGGAAACCACTGGAGCTATCTGCACTTTTATATTTAGATTGAAAACTAATTTCTCACAAGCTGCTTTTTGTGTTTAGTTTGTTGTCCCCCCCCCCACCGCACCTCCGATTAGCACAGTTGGCTACGTATGGTGCGAAAGAAGTTCAACATGCTGTACATACACTCAAACATACATACATATTTCCAGGATAGACACACGTTCAAACACACATACACCCAGTCCGACATATATACACATGCAGATACAGTCCGCCACACACACACACAGCATACGCATTCATATACCCAGTCAGACACACTGACGCATGCAATAGATACAAAGATCCCCCGCGGAGCCTTAACAGACCGTTGGGGTCAAGTGCTGTTCGCGAGCAGCATCTTTGAAGGCCGGCACGGCACACGACTGAGCGGGTGGTCGACACCACACCCAGCACACACACATACACACACACAGTACACGCGCAAATACATGACAGCCAGACGTCGTTGCTATCATAGCGTTCGCCCCAAAATCTGCTTCTGCTGCAGCTGCTACTCCTCCTCTACGTTGCGCCCAAATTCTACCGCGTTCGCAACACGTGCAGCAGTAGCGGCAGTGTTAGCACCAGGCAGTGCGTGCGTCCCAGTGTGACCACGAGCACTCGGGCCACGGGGACCACAGCAAAGGCCGGACGGACGCTCGCATTCAGTGCGGCGTCAAGGGAAGAGTCGTGAGGCACCTCTTCCATGGGACGAGTCGAGAGGCACCTCTTCCATGGGAAGAGTCATGAGGCACCTCTTCCATGGGAAGAGTCATGAGGCACCTCTTCCATGGGAAGAGTCGTGAGGCACCTCTTCCATGGGAAGAGTCGTGAGGCACCTCTTCCATGGGAAGAGTCATGAGGCACCTCTTCCATGGGAAGAGTCATGAGGCACCTCTTCCATGGGAAGAGTCGTGAGGCACCTCTTCCATGGGAAGAGTCGTGAGGCACCTCTTCCATGGGAAGAGTCATGAGGCACCTCTTCCATGGGAAGAGTCATGAGGCACCTCTTCCATGGGAAGAGTCATGAGGCACCTCTTCCATGGGAAGAGTCGAGAGGCACCTCTTCCATGGGAAGAGTCATGAGGCACCTCTTCCATGGGAAGAGTCGAGAGGCACCTCTTCCATGGGAAGAGTCATGAGGCACCTCTTCCATGGGAAGAGTCGAGGGGCACCTCTTCCATGGGAAGAGTCATGAGGCACCTCTTCCATGGGAAGAGTCGAGAGGCACCTCTTCCATGGGAAGAGTCGAGAGGCACCTCTTCCATGGGAAGAATCATGAGGCACCTCTTCCATGGGAAGAGTCGTGAGGCACCTCTTCCATGGGAAGAGTCGTGAGGCACCTCTTCCATGGGAAGAGTCATGAGGCACCTCTTCCATGGGAAGAGTCATGAGGCACCTCTTCCATGGGAAGAGTCATGAGGCACCTCTTCCATGGGAAGAGTCGAGAGGCACCTCTTCCATGGGAAGAGTCATGAGGCACCTCTTCCATGGGAAGAGTCGAGGGGCACCTCTTCCATGGGAAGAGTCATGAGGCACCTCTTCCATGGGAAGAGTCGAGGGGCACCTCTTCCTTGGGACGAGTCATGAGGCACCTCTTCCATGGGAAGAGTCGAGAGGCACCTCTTCCATGGGAAGAGTCGAGAGGCACCTCTTCCATGGGAAGAGTCACGAGGCACCTCTTCCATGGGAAGAGTCGAGAGGCACCTCTTCCATGGGAAGAGTCATGAGGCACCTCTTCCTTGGGAAGAGTCATGAGGCACCTCTTCCATGGGAAGAGTCATGAGGCACCTCTTCCATGGGAAGAGTCATGAGGCACCTCTTCCATGGGAAGAGTCGTGAGGCACCTCTTCCATGGGAAGAGTCGTGAGGCACCTCTTCCATGGGAAGAGTCGTGAGGCACCTCTTCCATGGGAAGAGTCGAGAGGCACCTCTTCCATGGGAAGAGTCGTGAGGCACCTCTTCCATGGGAAGAGTCACGAGGCACCTCTTCCATGGGAAGAGTCGAGAGGCACCTCTTCCATGGGAAGAGTCGTGAGGCACCTCTTCCATGGGAAGAGTCGTGAGGCACCTCTTCCATGGGAAGAGTCGAGAGGCACCTCTTCCATGGGAAGAGTCGAGAGGCACCTCTTCCATGGGAAGAGTCGAGAGGCACCTCTTCCATGGGAAGAGCCATGATGCACCTCTTCCATGGGAAGAGTCATGAGGCACCTCTTCCATGGGAAGAGTCGAGAGGCACCTCTTCCATGGGAAGAGTCGAGAGGCACCTCTTCCATGGGAAGAGTCATGAGGCACCTCTTCCATGGGAAGAGTCATGAGGCACCTCTTCCATGGGAAAGAGTCATGAGGCACCTCTTCCATGGGAAGAGTCGAGAGGCACCTCTTCCATGAGAAGAGTTGAGAGGCACCTCTTCCATGGGAAGAGTCGTGAGGCACCTCTTCCATGGGAAGAGTCACGAGGCACCTCTTCCATGGGAAGAGTCGAGAGGCACCTCTTCCATGGGAAGAGTCGTGAGGCACCTCTTCCATGGGAAGAGTCGTGAGGCACCTCTTCCATGGGAAGAGTCGAGAGGCACCTCTTCCATGGGAAGAGTCGAGAGGCACCTCTTCCATGGGAAGAGTCGAGAGGCACCTCTTCCATGGGAAGAGCCATGATGCACCTCTTCCATGGGAAGAGTCATGAGGCACCTCTTCCATGGGAAGAGTCGAGAGGCACCTCTTCCATGGGAAGAGTCGAGAGGCACCTCTTCCATGGGAAGAGTCATGAGGCACCTCTTCCATGGGAAGAGTCATGAGGCACCTCTTCCATGGGAAAGAGTCATGAGGCACCTCTTCCATGGGAAGAGTCGAGAGGCACCTCTTCCATGGGAAGAGTTGAGAGGCACCTCTTTCATGGGAAGAGTCATGAGGCACCTCTTCCATGGGAAGAGTCCAGAGGCACCTCTTCCATGGGAAGAGTCGAGAGGCACCTCTTCCATGGGAAGAGTCGAGAGGCACCTCTTCCATGGGAAGAGTCATGAGGCACCTCTTCCATGGGAAGAGTCCAGAGGCACCTCTTCCATGGGAAGAGTCGAGAGGCACGTCTTCCAAGACACGCGACCTTTGCCACGCCGCAGCTGCCGTTACCGTGCAAGCCAGCGCGTGTGTGTCTGCGCGTTAATGTGTATGTGCGTGAGGCGGCGTGTCTGTGTGTGTGAGGCGTGTCTGTGTGTCTGTGCGTCCGTGTGTCTGTGTGTCTGCGCGTTAATGTGTCTGTGTGTGAGGAGTGTCTGTGTGTGAGGCGTGTCTGTGCGTCCGTGTGTCTGTGTGCAAATACGCTGGTGCAGTGATTCGTAAGCGGTGCGCTGCGCGACGAACCCAGCCACACCTAAGTTCGATTCCCGCTCATGGAAAACATCAGTGAGGAATATCAGAGACCGGTTCCTGGGTAACCCTCCCAGACTTTAAATGGGTAACCCTGGTGCGGCGTGTTATAACAATAATACATCTGCACTAGGGAGACAAAGGCGGCCGGGCGTGGTGCTGCTGCTGGACACGCGCCACTCGTCACGTTGCGACCCAAACAGCGCTCGCTCCCCAACAGCCTGTTAAAGACGATGATGGGGGATCTTTGCGTGTGTCTGCATACGTGTCGATTGTAAACACACACATACACACACACGCACCCACGTACAGACAGACACATACACACGCATGCACCCACGCATAGACAGACACATACACACACACGCACCCACGCACAGACATACACACACACGTACCCACCCACAGACACATACACACACGCATCCACGCATAGACAGACACATACACACGCACGCACAGACACATACACACGCACGCACCCATGCACAGACAGACACATAAAAGATGAAGATCCCCCATATAGCCTTAACAGACTGTCGGGGCAAGTGCTGTTAGCGAGCACCTATGAAGGCCGGAACGGTACACAAGGGGGTGGGTAGCCAGCACCACGCCCGACCGCCTTTGTCTCCCTAGTGGTAATGTTTACACACCGCACCAGGTACTAATTTGAGGCTGAGTCGACCTAGGGGAGGCCCGGGACCGGTTCAGATAATCGTTACTGGTGTTGGCCGTGAGCGGGAATCGAACTTGGGTCGCCGGGTTCATAGCGCAGCGCGCTATCCGCTACACTATCGCTCCCCACAGACAGACACATACACACGCACACACGCACAGACACACACGCACCCACGCACAGACAGACACATACACACGCACGCACAGACACGCACACACACACGCACGCACCCACGCACAGACAGACACATACACACGCACGGACCCACGCACAGACAGACACATACACACGCACGCTGCCCCGTGTACTCGCTCCACTCTCAGCTGGTTTAAACCAGCTGAGAGTGGATCGGCACACGATATCGAATCCATCAATAAAAACACGCCAAGCATAGACCGGGAGAGAGAGAGAGAGCGCGCCGGAGAGAGAGAGAAGAGAGACAGGGAGAGAGGGAAAAGAGAGAGAAAGCTCGCCCGTCGTGGGAGGCCGCTCTCGTTTTGAGCTGTAATCCGACTCGCCGGCGTTGGTGACCACTTTTAGGGCGGCTGGAGAGAGACTGACTGGGGGTGGTGCCGTGTGTTCTGTGTCCGTGCGACGAGAGAGAGAGAGACAGACAGAGAGACAAGAGTTGGATTTGGTGTGTTGTTGAAAGTGTCCGGAGAGAGACTGGCTGGGGGGTGGTTGCGTGTGTTCTGTGTCCGTGCGACGAGAGAGAGACAGAGAGACAAGAGTTGTAATTGGTGTGTTGTTGAAAGTGTCCGGAGAGAGACTGGCTGGGGGTGGTTGCGTGTGTTCTGTGTCCGTGCGACGAGAGACAAGAGGCGGAGTTGAAATTGGCCAGTTTTTGGAAGTGTTTCCTCACCCGAGTGGGTACTTAGGAAACTGAGGTGACACGGTGACATCAAAGGTCGGACCAGTCCAAGCCTGAGGCTGGCCCTGTCTAGCTAGATACAAGATACAACACACGGAGACACCGTTGTAGGCTAACGGGACAGAGAGATAGGTGCGCGATGACAATTCGAACGGCGAAGTAAACAACAACAACAACAACACAAATAGGGCTAAATTTTAATAGTGTGAACTGTAATAACAGAGGATTTACCAAAGCCGTCCCGACGCCTTTGGGTTGCAAGGGAGGTGATGACACGACTATTCGTGACAGGCAGTGCGCGGAGAGACGTCATGTCGCGCCAAACAAGTTGAACAATTAAGGAAGGGAGAGATAAAGAAGTGCAAGAGTTGGTGTGAGAGAGAGAGAGATAAGGGGGAGGAGATGGAGGGAGACACGATGGATGCATCGGTCGTCGCCTGATCGGCGCGTCCAAGGATCATTACCACCAGCGTTATCATCACCAACAGCATCATTACCACCAGCATTACCATCGCTACCAGCAGCATCATTACCGCCAGTATAATCACCATTACCAGCACCACCACCACCACAATCATCACCAAGAGCATACTTATACTCACCAGCACCAACCAGCCTTGCCATCAGCGAGCTCGTCCTGTAGGAGGATTTTCAGAAAGCCAGAACCGAGGGCGTGAAAAATACACAGAGAGGGCCTCTGGCGTGGCCAAGACTGCAAGTGTCACGGGACACGTGTTCGTATGCGGCGGACCCGCGCTGCCAGAGGATGAGAATGGGCTCGCGGAGGGATTCGGAGGGACTCTTCTTCCCGTCAGTGGTTGTGGCCGCGCTCATCGCGGCTCTGCACTTCGACTTTGTGCGACACTCTCTTGCGGCGCCCGCTGCTGCTGCTGCATCATCGTCATCATCGGCGTTGTCATCCTCGTCGTCGTCGTCGTCGTCTTCCTCTTCGCTGCCGGCAGCCCACAGGAGTCCAAGGCACGTTCCTGCGGCGGGACCCGTCCGTCTAAGGCACCTGTACAGCCCCGAGAGCCGCGGGTCGGGAGGGCTGCACCTGCATCTTAGAGACGACGGCACGGTGGGCGGAGCGGCCCAGCAGAGTAAGCAAAGTACGTATCACGTTTTTTGTTTTGATTATGCGCCGTATTCTTCGAATTTACAGGACGCTCCGGAAAATCAGACGCAGCCTCAAACGGTGTGCCCGGTGTGGATGAAGTCATACAAATCTGCTCATAGGCACACCTCGTGGATGATAAGACGCACCCCCAAATTTCGCTTTCAAATGTAGGTGCTGCGCTCAAGTAATCTGGGCAAAAAACTGAAGCGTCCCAAGTAGCTCAAGTGTTCCTTGATGTTTAGAAAACAATCTAGGTGGCACCGAACATGAGCTCGAATGCACACCCTAATGGGCATTACATACTCATTGACGTAAGCTAATTCATCTCTGTCGTCTCAAATATTGCCTTCAGTTATATTCTCACATCTCACGACATGGGCTCTCTCTTGTCCGCATCTCATTTCACGACGTTCCCGGTCTCGCGTAGAACCCTTCTCTCGTCTCATTTTTACACCTCAATCTTTTGTCCACAGTTCATTCGCCTCGCCGCACATTGCGCTCTTGTCCATATCACTTCTGTCACCTCACCAGACTTGGATTCATTGAAAGGGGAGGCGGGGTGGTGGTGGGAATGGGTTAGCACACCCACCACTGTAACCCCCCCCCTTCCACCACTCAATCTCCTGTCATCCTCCCTGTGCCGGCTCTCCCACACGCACCCTCTCCCACTCTTCTTTAGTTTTCAGGCTTAAAATGCAGCCAACGGGGACGGGGGGGGGGGGTGGTGGATCACGTAGTGATTTGTGTGAGATTCCTTCAAACTCCGCTGCGAAGGGCTGCTAGGTTGTGGTTGGTGGTGGTGGGTAGGATGTCACAGTGCAGCAATTTGGTTAAGTAGAGCGCATCGCTCTAGCATACCCTTTAAGAGTGTTTCCCCCGCTTCGTAAGCATGCTGGATTCACATCCGGGGGTTCTCTGGTTGTGTCCCACATCGAGCGCTAACACACATTCATTGTATTGGGCAAACCCCCAAATAAATGCATGGAACTCTCCTGATGCAAATCTCGAGTCTCGGGCTTTCGCGATATATCGATGACGTTATGAGTGTTATTACGAATGATACATTGCACTTTCGTTTGTATTTCATGTTTTCATCTCTGCGGGACGCTGCCAAGAAAAATTCTGTACTGCCACAAAAGTCAGCGCGAGTGGCCTTGACGGCCCTGCCGTTTTGTCTGCACGCGGGCCCCTTTGAAGTGCGGTGCCCTTTAATTCGCACCGATAAAATTTAACTCCGCTCCTTCCATAACAATGCAGCACGTGGCGCTTCACAGTGACGAGAAAAGCCCTCGAGTCTACTGAATCCATAAAGTATGATTCATCTAGTAATTATTTAAAGTCGACTATTCGACTCGTGTACGTACAATTTTTTTAAGACCACCAGTAAAGAACCCGTTTCTCTGAAATAGAAAATAAGAGCTGCCTTTTTCATACTCGATCGTCCTGTACTCTTAGCACTTTAAAGTTAGCCGATTTTTTTGTAACAAAATGCCAAGATAATACGTACTGTGAGCTGTGAGGTTTTTGTCTGTTATATTCTTTAGGATTAAAACAAAAATGTTCTGGCGGAAAGAATTTACATTTATAGAGGCACAAATTGGAATGTTTGAGCAATTTTAAATAAACCGTGTCAGTCTTCTGTGTTGGTTCTTCCCACCTCTGCAGTGTCACTAATAAATGTCTTCCCGAACGTTTTCAGCCGTTGCAAATCAGTTGAACGTTTATTTGATTGCGTGGAAAAAAATCCCGTTTAGCCAGTTACCCAGCTAGCTTCAGTGGCAGCGGCCCACAGCCACGAACACTTTTATTATTTTTGGAGTGCAGAGGAGCCAGTAGCTAGCCAGTAAGCTCGAGGACTATATTATAATGAAATAGCATGGTTTAATGAATCGCTTCCTCGTCTCAGCCCAGACTTCTCAATCACTGCTGCTATATTATGAACACTGTACTATTGGCCGATATAAAGATCACGATGCGATGAAACAACTTAAAGGCGGGGTTAGTGATCGCCTAGAGATGGCGACTGAAATTCACCTGCAAAGTGGGCAGACAGCGGGGTATTGAGTCCAGTAGCATCTCGTTGTGTATGCATGGATTTTCTCTGAGATACATCGCGAGGTGTCTCTTAGTAGATGTGTCTTAAACGCTTGTGCTGTACATCATTGTCATCATCCATGGTCGAGCCACTGCTGGATGAAAGCTTCCCCGTGTCGTCGTTATCCCTTGTGGCACGACAATGCCAAAATGCATCTCGCTCCTGTACCAGAGCCGATCTCATCGCTCCATCTCTGTCATGGTTGTCCTGTCGGGGTGATCTCGCTTTGGGCTATGCACATTTAAATCTACTTTGAAAACGCATTTCTTTAGAACAGTTTTTGTTAGGGTTTAGTTTGTTGTCCTTCCCCCACACCTCCGATTAGCACGGTTGGGCTACGTACGGTGGGAAAGAAGTTCTACATACATACATACATAGGCTGCATCACTGTTTGATCCACCAACCCCACCTCCAGTTGATAGGATTACGAGCACCCTGCTGGTTCAGGTCAAGAGCTCATCACGATTCCACCACACCTCGCCATCACGTCCTTATGCTAGATCTCCCTGATAATAGGTTTTTCCGCTTTTTTTCTGGCAACAAAACAGGTGTTAAGATGTTAAAACACAAAACTGAAACCTTTTACAAGGAATCACGTCTGCATTAACCACAATTCTTGTGGTCAGAATGCAAACAAAAAACATACTTTGATAATATTTGCATTGTCTTTGAAACTGATTGGTCCACACCAGAGACAGCTTTCTTTTGAGCCTAGTCTAAAATGGTGTTAGACCAGAAAGCTGTCTCTGGTGTGGACCAATCAGTTTCAAAGACAATGCATATATTATCAGAGTATATTTTTTGTTTGCATTCTGACCACGAGTATTGTGGTTAATGCAGACATGATTCCTCGTAAAAGGTTTCAGTTTGGTGTTTTAACATCTTAACACCTGTTTTGTTGCCATAAAAGAGGAAAAAATCTATTATCATAATTTGGTACTGGCAAAGGAGGTCCCATGATCTAGATCCCCCTATTGTTGCAAAGTCCATACCTGACCACTAAGGCCTTTTTTAAAAATCACAGTTTCAATCTATATCCTGATGCAGAAGATTAGTGCTGGATACAGTCACATTTGCCAATTTGATTTGTAACTTTTATCCTTAACTTTGTAATGAGAGTTCAATTTTAATGTGCCATTTTATTGAAGTACGGTGTGTTGTGTTGGTGTGGTCTTGGACTGTTTTTGTTGTTGTTTTGCTGCCTTGCCCAAGCTTGCATAAAGTGTTGAAAAATCGGACGTATACTTTATTTATATTTAATTCTTTATATGTTGTGACTTTATTACCTTCTTCTCTATTTGTTGTAACTTGCTGATCCGCCCCGACTGTACGTTTGTGAAAAAGAGCTTCATAGCTCATCGGATTCCTCCAGTCTGAATAAAGATTCTGATTATCATCACCACCGCCACCATCAGACTTCAGGTATTCCCCTTGGCAGTCAACCTCTGACTCTGTAACCTGCCCTCCTCCACCCTGCACATGTGACCCACCCTCCCATTGTAAACTCAGAATAGAACATGGTACATTTTCTTCCATGTTCTATTCCTAAACGTATACCTTGTTTACCCCTTCCTGCCATGAAATTCCCTGCACCTTCGACTTGAACCTGTGTGCACAGGGGCCAGAAGCTTATATTCTAGAGCAGTGGTGCTAAACCTTTACTACAGACTGCACCACTTGGGTTCTCAGAAAGGGCATCTCGCACCCCCAGGGGATGCGTGCACCCCGGGTTGAGAACCACTGTTTCTAGAGACGTTGTTAAATATCCAACCTGCACGTCCAAGCCTCTCAATTGTAAATGATCCATAGTTAATCCCTGGATGTTTTGCTGTCTCTACGCTGGTCATGATTTTGGTGAACGCGTGGTCGAGCACGACTTCAAACAAATTGAGTTAAAAAAGTTCTTAATTGGGTAATACCTACGAGCAACATAACACCCTTCTGATACGTCTACATTCGTCTGTGAAACAGTGTATTATTTGCGCCTTGTGCCTTACGAACGGCGCAAATACCAAGGGTTCTAATTATAATTACAAAATACACCCCTGTCAAATAACTTGTCCTCACCTTCAACCACTCTGATGTCCCTGGCTACTCGTCACACACAGACCAAAATTCCATCACATAAGTTATTAAGCAGGCCCAAATACCATAACAACAACATAGACGTTTCCATCCATAGCGCTTTCCTCCAGGCAGAATCCCGTGATTGATTCAAGTTTACAAAACAAATACCGACATCTTACTCATACAGCTCTTTTCTATTATCTGCCTGATTGTATAAGTACAATTTAACACGTAGGCTTTATTATTTAGAATAACCGTGTTTAGCTTAGATCGTGTAAATATATTTAGGTACAATCGGGGACGTACTATTAAAGGCACACTAAGCTATATGTACAACAAGCCGAAGACAGCAAATTTAATAAGGGAGCAATTTGAACAATTTGATGCATCTCGGAGGAGTATCCAGTGCAAAGTTCCTGAGCAATATTTTGCACAGCGCCTAGTGGATGGAAGACCACGATCGCTGACGTCGTTGAGAAAGGACACAGCACATTGAGCGGGGGGGGGGGGCTGATTGTAAAACTTTGATTTGCGCGTCTGTAAAAAAGAGCTTCATAGCTCTTCAGATTCCTCCAGTATAAATACATGTTCTGATTCCGATCTCTGCAGCCCCTCCCTGCTCTAAGCCAGTGCTGGTTGTCATCATTACACACACAATTTGCTCGCCGCAAACGAACCACAATACCTTGCTGATCTAGCTAAGGAGCATAGACCATCACACAAACTCTGGTCATCCTCGCAGCGGCGTTTGGCTTGCCATTGAATAAAGACGGTCACCGCATCGAGCGCTTTCAGATGCGCTTCTGCGGACGTCTGGAACGCTCTTCCTTCAGATATTTGGAAGCCACTGGAGCTATGTACTTTTAAATATAGATTGAAGAGTCATTTCTTTTAGAACTACGTTTTGTGTTTAATTTGTTGTCCTACCCCCGCACCTCCGATTAACATGGTTGGCCACAAAGATGTTCTTCATACATTCTCACATTAAGCGCACACCGTGGATAGCTGTTAAACCCAACACGATGAATGCTGTCAAATGCAAATTTCAATCGACAGTGAAATATTCGCGATACCACGGTCAACTCACTACGCTTGAGAACTCGGTTTAAATCACGTGCGGCTGGCCGAGTCACCAATCCGAACCCATGTTCTCATCTTGCCGGCACGGTGTCACTAACACGGCGATTATGAGCCCCCCGATGCGCCTGCCACCTCCACATAGAAGCCTCAAAGCGCTTCGCGTCGCGCAACCGGGAAAAAGCGCAACCGGGAAAAAGCCACGTTTATCTGACTTCTTGTGTTGGACCTCGACAACCCTGGTGGGCCCTTGTTGATAATGTATGCGAGTGCCCTAAGCTGTCGTAAAATCCCCTGTGCAGTCTGTACTTTGGAACAGCGGGTAAGAGTGAAACTGAAGTTGACGCGGAAATTGTTAGTTTAATAGGAAGTTTATAGGAAGCATTTCTCTGACGCAGCGACGTCCAAATGCCCCTCAATGTGCCCGATCTCGTCTGATCTTGGAGGCTAAGAAGGTTTGAGACTGGCTAGTACTTGCATAGGAGAGGGCCTATCGGAATGCCAGGTGTTATAGGCTAGGGCTACGAGGTGGCTCGGAGACGGGTGACACGGAAAAGAGATTTTGATTCTCTCTGTGCAGAGCTTTGAGTGTTACCTCCTCATATGCATGGTGGATTTTCTCAGGATTCCTGCCATTTGAAGCCAAACTCTCATGAATGGAATTGGCCAACGCCCCAATATCGCAATGCTCTCCTGAAATATTGTCTTGAGACTCGGTGATGTTTTCATGGATGAGGGCATTCATAGATTTTCACACGTCTTGTATGTATGTTGAACTTCTTTCGCACTGTACGTAGCCAACCGTGCTAACCGGGGGGTGCGGGACCGTGCTAATCGGAGGTGCAGGATAATGTGAATGTGTTGCATGGCGCAACAGATATAGAGATAATTTGAGGTATATGCTGAAGATACAGCATAATATATGTGGCCATACACATCTGTAATCAAATGCATTTGTGTGGGATTGGTTGATCGCAAACAATCATATTTATAGACACTCAGCAGCAGGGGCTGAGTGGTGCCTGTTTGTGGCAGTACATCAAGTAGTTTGCTGCTCCATACCATGCGGATGCTTTCTTGGTACTCTCCTCATCATGAGTTTATTTCACTGGGCACTCAATTTTGAATTCACTCACAACACCAGCAATCGTGAATTCAAGACATTAGCCAACGACTAGCTGTACTGCTTCAAGCAGGCACCACCTCTCACTGTCCTTGCAGGTGAGGGTCTCTGGCACACGAAGGCTACATCTCTGCGTGACCCACTAACCCCATATATAATTCGATTGATTGCGATGAGCATCATCACCACCAAACAAAGATCTTGGCATGAGACGCAGTCTCCATTCCGAAGAGCAGCCAAGGTGTCAGAGAGTGGGCCGTGGAAGGAACATATCAACCGACGTGTTAGAGACTGGCCCACAGGGGGGGACATTACAGAACTACTTCTGAGATATTCAAGCGACCTCTTATCCACACACTAGCGGTGCTGCACTTTACCCGCAATGTGCTACTATTGAGGTGTTCAACACATAACAGTCAGGTTCAGACATTTTTTTGTTTTTGTGACTTCTCAGAATTGGGAGTTTTGCCAAATTAAGTGAACGGGCAAATGTGTAACACGATGTTTTTTGTTTGTGCTCAGTAATTGCTGAATGGATAGAGGCCATCTCTCTATAATTGGTAACCCAGTTTAATCACCCTCGATTTAATACCCAAACAGGAGGATTTATCCACAATTCTGGATGTCACCTGATGAGGCGAGTTGTAATTGCCGGCGGAATATCGTACTCGAATTGTAAATGTTGTGGGTTTACCCTCCAACACACCGGTGTTCTGAACTAATAAGTAATTGCCATGTTTCGTTCACGTGACAAACCTTACTAATTGGCCGTGTCGGGTGGTGGTTGGTTTAACGACACATTCACGTGATCTAATCCAACAAACCTCCATTATGGATAATATTGGTCGTGAAAGTCTACGTATTAAACCTAGTTTAATCATTGATGGGCTGCCTGGATTAAAATCCAGGATCTTGGTGGTGCTGGCTCGGTGCTCCTACCCCTCTGAGCCACCACCAGGCCACCTCTCCCACACTTTTATTTTTAAGGGATCTGATTGGCACTTTATTGCTATGCGTCTGCTTGCGTCTCCGTCGGTCCGTGTGAGGACACTTCACGTGAAGGGTCAGCATGCAAACCGCTAAGCCACTGCTCAGCAGTTTGCTCGTTGCAGCACGAATCCGGCAAACCCAAGTTCTAGTCCCACTCACGGCCAACAAAAGTTAAGATTGTCTGAATCGGTCCTGGGCCTCCTCTAGGTCGACTCAGCCTCACATTTGTAGCTGGTGCGGTGTGTCAAACTTTGCCACTCGGGAGACAAAAGTAGCCGGCCGTGGCGCTGGCCACCCATCAACTCGTGTGCCGTGTCAGTTTTTTTTAATATATAAATGCTCGCTAACAGCACTTGCCCCAACAGTCTGTTAAGGCTATAAATCGGATGTTTATCTTTGGACATTTCGCATGAACCGCTGAACCAGTTGCTACGCAATTTAACACGCAGCTGACTAATTACACTAATTAGCACTGCCGTGCATTTGCGCGGCATACACGACCGGGGTTGGGTCAGGGAGGGGTCACATCAGCACAACGCGTGAAGCCGGCTCAACGCTGAGGGATGCAGGTGACGTCATCACGCAGGTGTGCACGTGATTTTAACCACTGCGCACCTGCCCGCAAGCCAGACAATTTTTTTTTATAAAATATAGTGTAACAGAAATGTGCATCTATCTATATTATTTTGGCAATATAGGCAACAAAATAATTTTCTCGAGGTATTTTATTTTATATTTTTTTATGGTGGTGGGTGGGGGGGGGTAGATGGCAGGGTGGATCACAGGTCAGAGCGCTGAGTGGGCACTGCTAAGATCCTGCGTTTGAATTCAGGCAAACATTACCATTGTCATGTCTTTGATGAAACTGGATACTCAATGGCAGTGAGCTGATGGTCTCATCCCTGTCACCAATCACCCAAATAATATAGTTTTTTTGGGTTAGATTTTGGCAATATAGGCAACAAAATAATTCTCTGAAAATATATGTATATACACACTCTGATAATATATGCATATATGCAGAGTGTGTATATGCATATATTATCAGAGTGCGTTTTTTGTTGGAATTTTGACGACAAGTATTGTGGTTAATGCACACTTGATTCCCCGTAAAAAAGGTTTCAGTTTTGTTGCCAGAAAATAAAAAGGGGAAAACCCTTATTATTATTATTATCACCTCGTTAAATTCGCCTTTACTCCCGAGTTCTCTCCGTATACCTCGATTCTGTTGATTTCTTGCTGACAATACACACGGGGCGCATTGGCATCTCACGGAATGAAATGCGCCACTTGACAAACGTACGTCTCTATTATTAAACCCTCCTGAAAATTCGACGGAGGCTCTCTTAACAGACGGACCGGCGTGCCAGCTTGCCGCACTGACGGTCGCTCGCTCGCCCCTTCGCGTGTGCCGCGGCGCTGCAGGTTTGCTGGAGATGCGCTGGGTGGACAGGGGCGTCGTGGCCATCAAGGGCGTGAGCAGCCAGCGGTACCTGTGCATGGACGACCACGGCGGCCTGCACGGCTCGGTGAGGAACAGCGGTGCCCCCCTCCCGCTTCCCCCGAATGAGTGGTAGAGGAGCGCCGGCTGGGCATTGGGGCAGGCCACATCAAAATCACATTCACGCATGCAAATATACCATGCGGGCAAGCCGGGAAGTCGGGTGCCCGGTGGACACGGTGGAGCGCTTCGACTTTCCCGATGAGCGACGAGAGGCCGCGCAGTCGTTTGTCCTCCCCCCCTCCACACCTACGATTAGCACGGTTGGCTACGTACGGTGCGAAAGAAGTTCAATGTACAACATACCCGGAAGGAGAGCTTAGAATGTGCCTAAGTTTAGTGAGGAGAAAGTTTCGGGTCATGTTTTTTTTTTATGACAGATGGGCCAAGCTCCAAGGTCCATATATAACCTTTCAATACCATCAGTCTCAAGGCTCACTTGCAGTCAGAATGAGCCCATTCTCGACTCGATACCATTAATTTTGACAGACCAACGAATAAAGTATCTTATAACGCAGATAATTGGAAACGTCTTTGGCCCGACATACAAATCAATGCTCACAGGTTTACATAAAATTTTAATTTGTAAAGTAGCATGGCACAATTTTTTTTACTCACACATTCAGTGCTTGCAGGGTATGTTACCAAATATTACTCGCAAGAGCACCGCCCGTAAGCAGTGGCATCTATTCAACACCAAACAGCAACATTGTAAAACCTCATTATATTGCAGAGAATCGCGGGGTAAAATATGAATGGCGGCGTATAAAAAAACACATAGAAGGTTCGTGCGGTGTAAGCGTTCTTTGTCAAGCAGCAGTGGGGTGGCAGGGCTTGAATCATTACTGCCTTCCCAGCGATTGCGACGTGTAAAAAACTGAACTGGGGTAGCAGCAGTGAACACAGCGTTTCGTGCACTGCGCTACGAACCCAGCGACCCAAATTCAATTCCCGGCCACGGCCAACATTCGTGGCGAGTGATAGCTGAAACGGTCCTGGGCACCAACCTGCACAAATCTTCAGGTTGAAGTGGGGTCAAACAACCCGCACAACCGACGGGGCGTGGGGAGCCTTTCATCCAGCAGATGGATCGACAGAGGACTGTAAATGACGGCTGCCACTTTGTGGACACTGTCGCCCCGTCTCGACGCGCAAACTCCTGCAGCAAATTGGCGGTCGACGTTCCGAGTGAGAACTGTGACCCTCCAAGGAATGGCGCCCTCCCCTCCCCTCCCCCCCAGTGATCCGTAGATCAAACACTTTGCTGCCTGTGTAAGGCAGCAAAGAGCAGTTGATGCGAATGCTGTCACAAGAGGTCACGCCTTTGGCGCAACTGTCCTTCGCTGACTATGCGTGATCAATGAGTGTAAATTACTATTGCTAACAACCGTGATCTGCTAATGAGGTCGCGTGGGGGGAACCTAAGTGGAGGCCGGGGCTTTGTGTGGCGCTGGCTCTCATCACTCCGTCGTGCGGAACGACAACTGCACTGGCTCTAGCAGTCAGCATGGCTCTGAACGAGGGATCCTTGACTTTGTGTGACCCTGGGGGAGGTGTGTCTTGCCAGTGAATGCGCGCGCGCATGAGATGCTTCGTAGATAATGGTGATGACAGATGGAAATAGCATTCATTTTCTTTCACGTTAGAAAGGTATTTCCTGGTGTTCCGTGTCAGCCGGTGTGGCTCAGCAGAAAAAAAAAAAACCCCGTAACATTCTGACACCTTTGATTCTAGATTTGAAGCTTTCGTGACTGCAAGGATTCATACTCTTTTGTTTTTTCGGTAAAGTCACGTAGGTAAAATAAATTTGAAAATAAAAGAAAACAGCTAAATTAAATCACGACGTTTCGGAGGCAACACAAGCTTCCATCTTCAGGTGGAACAGTCACAGCAAGATATCTGCATCAAGTGCTTGAAGCTTGTGTTGCCTCCGAAACGTCGCGATTTAATTTAGTTGTTTTCTTTTATTTTAAATTTTATTTTACCCACGTGACTTTACCCAAAAAACAAAGAGTATTCTGACACCTCACATTTGAACACCTACAACAATTAAAATCTGCTAATCAACAATGACATGGCGGCGTAGCTCAGAAGTGTGCAGGCGGTGCAACTGCAACCGGTGCCTGTGGGCCAGAGGGGCCCAGGGGCCGGAGGGGCCCAGGCACCAAGTCACGAAGGAGGGGGTGGAAATTGGACAGGGAGCCCCCATTTGATCCCTTGCTCCACCAGGCCGCATGCCAAGCACACTACACCACTGCGATTACGCGCGAGACATTGTTTTTGTTTTGCTTGGACTGACGCGATCGCACACAACGCACTTTCATTCCTAGGCAAGAAGAGCTGAGCAACTATTTCTGTTCCTGCTACCGCCAAAGTTGCAACCGCCCAGAACCAGACACCCGGTGCATATACACAAGTGTGGGAACAGGGTGGGGAGTGGCAGTACAGTGGTTAGCGCACTGCTCTACGAACTCAAGGACCCGAATTTGATTCCCGCTCACGGCCAACATGAGTGGCGACATTTCTTAACTGCTGCTGGATCTCCTCTAGGTCGACTCAGCCTTATTTAAAACTAAACTATTTTTTTGTTTTACCGGATAAGGCCCACTGAGCTATATACCTCTTTTTTTCAGAAGCGACCTGGCCACAAATGATAGCTCAACGAAGTGGCTTACCACAGAAACATTTACAGCAGCCAAACACTCTAAACGCATGTTCCTAACTGTGGAGGGAAAAACCGGCGGGCCCCGGGCTAAGCCGTAGCCTCACTGCAGAGACGAAGTTTATCGCGAGATAAAATCACGAGATGAAAATAAAACCCCCCCACGTTGTACCGAACTCACGCGCGCGTTCCGTGCGCTCCCTCAGACCGAGTACCGCCCGCGCGAGTGCACCTTCCGTGAGCGCACCCTGCCCGACGGCTACACCATCTTCTACTCAGCGCACCGTCACGCCGTCGTCACGCTCAGCCCCGGGCAGGGCCGCTTGCGCTCCTCCTCTTCGTCCACCTCGTCGGGGAGGCACCACCTCCTCCCGCCGCTCTCGCAGTTCCTGGCCACCGTCAACGCCGTGCCACTTCACCACGTGCTGGCCTACGACGACCTGGCGGAGCCCCCCGGAGATGGCGGCGGCGGCGGCGGCGGCGGCGGTGGATCCGAGGGCCAGCTGGACGTCGACGATCCGCTGGGAATGGACGCGGCGTGGCGGGCCGAACCGCTGGGCCTCCTCCGCTAGCGGGAGCGGCCCAGGGGCCTCGTAAGCGACGGCTCTTGGGGGGCGGGGTTGGGGGGGATGCGGGTCCGGGAAGCGGAAGGTAGATGCGCACCTAGGCCGTGTGTCCCCCAGGGCCATTGCCCAAAGAGTCAGTCTTATGTATATATATTTATTTCCATCATGTTCTTTTTTGAGTTCTCATCATAAAAGGGTTACGTTTCCTCCATCCTGTCTAAACTTGCATTTCTTCATTTTCATGGAACCTCTTTTCTATGAGCGGTGGAGCAGCACCTTCCCATTTCTACCTCTTGGCCTTCCCCTCCCCCCCTCCCCCCGGCTCTTGAAGAGCTTCCTTTCGCGAGCCTTCCCCTCTACCAGTGCTGCTCAGCCTCGGCCTTTTGCCTTCTCCAATAGGTTCCACTTAGACTGCTCGTTAACTCACGTGAGCGCTTATTTATTTTTCTTTCCCCCTACAGCCGATTTTCTGCATTCGGCGCCACTCCCCATCTCTCAAGGCCTTCCCGGCATCCATGCCTGCCGAGTGTAACGCTCCACGCACTTCAGTGCTCCACGCTAAGGGCCTTCACTTTGTTCTCTTCTCCCGCTCCCTGCTCATCCACCTTCTTGCTGAATGCTAATTTAATTCGTGGCAAATCCTAGCTCTGTTCCCCCGAGGGCATTTACCGTCTCCTATCAGACTTACTTCCCCGTATATATTTGAACCGTTTGATCATCGTATTGGCGACGAGAGCGGAGGATTTACGCATTCGCGTCAATATTCGATTCGACGTTTCAAGCTAAAAGGTCAAGGTTCGCCGTTCCGGCACCACGGCGGTGACGTTGCTGCGACATTCCTCCCGCACATTTTGCAACGCGTCGTCGTCGTCATCGCATTGGCGTCTTCAACGATGCCGCAACGGCACGGCGGAACGTACGCAACGTTTCAAGTCTTTTAGTTGCTTAGGTTCAACTTAAAAGTCAAGGCAGACAGCCCAGGACACAGGTACGCTTGGTATGTATAAATAATATCTACACGGCTAGAGCCGGTTATGTTTTCTGAGTTGTGTCTTCCTTTAAGAGGAGGAAGGTCTCTCCCTGTGATCCGCCGGGGAGTTGCGCCGCAATGGTTTGCGACCCGTTTCGGCGCGACCGCACCACTAGAGGGTTGCAGAAATCAGCGAGGGCCGTAGTAGCTGCTCTGCGTCCCTCCACTACTTGAGCAGCCCTGATTGCACTCGGGATAACCGATTCTATTTTTTCTTTTACTGACGCACGGAGACGAAGAATGACGGCACATCTTTTTACGGACGTGGCTATAAATGAAAGCTGCGCTCCGGTTATCGCGGCACGGCATCGTGATGTTGCGATGTTGGCGAGCGTTTTCGCGCGTGCGCACTTGGGCACGTGTTCCGTGTTCATGGGCTTAGCCGTTGATTCATTTTGGCTGGGCTCGTCCAGGTCTGTGACCTGGGAATAACAATTCCGCGTCGATCGCATCACGTGCACCGTACCTCTCCCTCTGGCTGTGGGTTGCTCGTCGCGTGCCACCAGCCGCCCTGGAAAATATTCAGCGATAATTTAAGCCCTGGGTTTGGGTGTGGAAATGCCCACTCGTCCACCGTCTGCTCTCCATGTCACTCCTCTCTTGCTCCCCCATTCCATTACATTTCTCCTCATCCTGCGTCCCTCCCACAACCGCCGTCCATCGTGATCTCCTTTGTTGTTGTTTTTTTATTTTTACCGGCCGCAACAAACGCTTATCCGCACAAGATTGCCCCCTTTCATGGGCTCGCGTTGCTAATTGTGAAATCCGAAGAGGCCATTGTGTTACCGTGTTCTACCGAATAGCACGTGTACATTTGTGTCTTTTTTGACAATCTTTGTGCTCGTACCTTGCCTCGTGGGATGGAACGCACAAAGAGCGCGGTCGGTCGGTCGGTCCGTTTCGTTATGAGAATGTTTGCCAGTGGCAGGCAGTTGGAATCTGGAGAGACGGATAGCCTTAGATCAGTCACCGTGGCTTGCTGGTGAACTAGTTTGCACGGAGACAACGGTCCGTTTCCAAAAAGACAAACGCTGGATAGTTTCCTCTGGACTTCGGTCGGTGTTGTTGTGATTATCGACCGGGGATGTGCACGGTTCACTGGATTGAGCGCAAAAAAACCTCAGCAGCGTCGTTTTCAAAACTTGCCCATTGTGTTAAGAACAATGGGCAATGATTTACCCAGGACAGCATCGCGGAGCCTCAAAAGACCCGTTGTCGGGAGGGTTCGGTTGCAATATGTCAGATGTTTGGCCAGTACCGTGAGTGGCTGCAGTCGGATAGAAACCGGAGAGAAACCCCAGCAGGCATAGGAGGAGGGTGACGCTCCCTGGCTATGCGCCTCCATCTCGTGGTTACCCAACAGCCCACGCCTAGGACACCTTGACATTGCCAGGCGGTCTCCCATCCAAGAAAATAAACTAACGAAACTGGGTTCATTCAGACAAAGTCGGTCCGACATCGATATAGTCGTAATCTAGGCCGTAGCGCGACGACATTCGTGATGAACACAATTTATGGGGCGTACGTGTTTCACGAATCGGACGCGATGTTCGATTTGTGAAACTCCGGAGGCGCGGAGCCAGAGCTCAAAGTCCCCCCACCTCCACCACGTGTGCCGGCCCAACACGGCAACAGGAAACAGATACCAACCGTTTGCCATCGCCTAAAAGTGGTAATATTGTACGTGCCGTGGACTCTTAAGTGTGCTTAATTGCAAATACGTATGTCTGAATTGACCGTTGTTGTCCATTGCGATCGCTATATTGTTGATGTTATTCATGGGGGGGATGAGAGTGGGGTTCGAGTGAGGGATTGACGTTTGTGGATTTATGAAAAGATGCTACCAACATAAAAAAAAACGAACAACTCGTGGCGACTCACCTAGGCCACGGGCCCAGGCTGTCCACCGCCTCCCCCACTCCCCGACACAAGTTTGAAGCTGCGATAACGAGGGAACGTACTTTGAGTTGACTCCCACACGCATCAAGCACAGACAACGGGCGTTCGATTGACGCTGGAGGAACCCGACGAGCTACGGAGGTGTTTCCCAAAGGTGTCCAGCCCAAGTTGGCGTCGGGGGCCCACTCTCGAAGTGATGCCTTCGCGCAAGTAGCGTCCTCTCGCACACGTCATCGTCGATAGGCAGCTACGAGTGGATAGCTTGCGAGGAGTGGCTGGAGGTGAAGAAACAACCTTGAACACCGCCGCCAGGTCGACGTCCGTGGCGGCTCGCATGCTGCGCGCGTATTAACTTTAGCGGCCTCTGAAGGGCGGTCGGAGGTGGTGGTGGAGGAGTACGCTCGTGCGGTATGAAGAAACGGGACTTGGTTGGACCGTGTAATACAAGTTTGTTCAGCTGTCTTTTCCCGAGGGCCATTGGGTGGGCCACGTGACATCACGCGTCACATGTTTTTGTTTGACTGACGTCACAATGTGACGTGCACGGACGTTTTGATCTCGTGCGGTGGAATTGTAAAGGTCACGATGTCTGTACGTGTGACCGCTAATCTGTATCTCTAATCTCTCGGTTATCTCTATCATATCTCAAGAAATTGTATCTCTCTGTGTCTCATCTCGGTGGGCCACGTCTCTTGGTGGGCAGGCCACTCCAAGAGCCTTCGCGGGTCACATTTTGGCCCCCATGCCACCCTGTTCAAGAACCCTATCATGCATACTTTGTGAAGCAGCTGCGGTGGAGATGATGAGATGAAACTAATCAATGAGGCGAACTAAAATGATTTGAGTTATCCGCGCCGTCGCTCCTCGCGAGCTATGGACGGTTGTGTGTGGGCGCACGCACACTTTTGTAATAATTTATATTTTGGACATCAGTTTGTACGAAAATAAAGTGTATTTTTACAATGTTGGCGATCTGCGTTTATTTACTCTTTGTCAGCAACGGCTGCTGCTCACGTGTAAATGACACTTTAAAATGTTATGCCGAGCGCTGGTAGCTACGAGCCTACGACACACGTGGCCTGGACTCCAGCACTGTGGAGGCAGCGAGGGTCGGTGGATCGTCGCACAGTTGTTGTGAAACTCCCCTCCCGCGGGCTCGCCAGGAGAAGGCGGTACGGCAAGTGGACGAATCGCCATCTGTTTCCATCCGTAAGATGACAAGAGTGTTGCCAGCCTCGCACCCATGGGTTCTCTCCGGGTGCTCCGGTTTCCTCCCACACGTATAATAATAATAAACAACTACTCATTGATGAATTGAAGACATCTTAAAATAAAATACTGCTGGGACCCTCCTGCTAAAGACTGCTATGACGTGGTGGGGGATAAATTGGAGATGAACCGATGTATGGAGATAGACTGCTTATTTTGTTACTTATATTCTCAATAACGGCGCCAATCATTCTTTCAAATTGAAGGTCTTCGTGTGGCTGATGGCAGAATGAAATTCATTATTTATCCTGGAGGAATCCGACGAGCTATGAAGCTCTTTTTCACAGATGTCCAGCAGGGGCAGCTCAGCAAGTTACCCCGTCCCTGATGTTGATGGACAGCAACGTATATATACTGTCGTTGTACATCGAGGCGGTGGAGCCAGACGATTGCTTCAGGAATAGCGGAGTGGTGCATCGTGGCTGTGATGATGTCTCCTCCTCCGTTATTCTAAGTTCAATGGTTCTGTCCAGGGTGACCACAGCCTCTGCACGCTGCTGGAGAGTTTTTTTTTATTTTCCATTTTGTTCATCATCATATTAATCATCATCAAGTTAAAACAATTATTTTACTTGTTTTTTTTTAATTTACCAAGTAAGGGCCACTGAACTTTATAGCTCTTTTTCAGAAGCGACCTGGCCACAAATTATGTTCAACGAAGTGGCTTATCATCACGTGGAAATGTATAGCAGCCGAATACTCTGAACGCATGTTTCTAAACGTGGAGGGAAAACCCGGAGGATCCGGAGAAAAATCCACGCGACCACGGGGAGAACACGCAACCTCGAAATATAGAGGCGCCAGGGTTGGGATCGAATCCACGACCTCCTGTATACCGAGCGAGTTAGCTAACATCTCGATGCGGCTTAGGATTGCTGCCTGGAAGCTTTTGCGGAAGATGCAAGACAGGGAGGCCTTCCGCCTCGGGTCTTTGTCGAGGAGTTTGTGACACGAGATATGTTTCAGCATCAGAGATGTTGTACTACAAGAGATTCCCCGCCAGGGAGCGCATTACACCCACAACGTATAGCTCGGGTTCTTCTGCGTTCTACAGACGGCGGCTGTCTCAGCATTCATCAACTGAACTTGTGACCGATGCTCGACGGTAACGAAAATGCCGACTCTGTGACAGCCATGGAGACAGAGAGACAGGCATGGAGAGAGACGCTGAGATAAACACGCACAGCATCACGGAGACAGAGCGCCTATGAAGGTCGATATAGGCACACGAGTGGGTGGGTGGCCGGAACCACGCCCGGCCACCTTTTTCTCCTTCGTGACGATGCTTACACACCGCACCCGTTGCTCATTTGAGGCTGAGTTGACCTAGGGGAGGCCCAGCACCGGTTCAGATATTCGTCACTGGTGCGGGTGGCCGTGGGCGGGAATCGAACTCGGGTTGTCGGTTCCGTGGCGCAGCGCAGCGCTAACCACAGAGCGCTAACCACGACAGACATACAGAAACACGCAGAATTTCAACGTTCATTTGAACCGAGTCTCCCTTCGCCACGTGGGAGCCGTGTTTACAAATCATCTGGTGCGTGCAGCGTATGAAGACTGCCAAGCGTGGAAAGATGTCCCGTGGTGGATCGCGACGATGGGAGTTTTGGACAACCCCAACACGAAACGTTTATTGTTTTTTTCCGTTGATACAAAAATACACTCGACATTTTGGCCACAATGGCGTCGCTCAGGATAAATACGATGTATAATATTTTTGTTATTTGATTGTAGTGGTGGTGTTTAAGCGAATTCATCATCGCCAAGTGGAATTGCGCCACGTGGTCTCTATCCCAATGTGTGTGTGGGGGGGGGGGCTCGAGGGTGGAGGAGCTGGAGAGGGATTTTCGGGGAGGGGGGAGGGGGGCACGGAAGACGTCGCGGACACCGCTCTCTGTGTTCGCGACTCGAAGCGCGTCCAGCCGCCACGTGGGAGGCGCCGAGAAGGCGGGCACACAGACGGGGTGTCCACGGGGCACCGGACACAGCCACCAAGACGCGCGGCATACTCGAGAGTACGATGCACGGAAGGGCAGAACGGAGGCGTAGCAATCCAGACGCGCAGCGGGCCAGACACAATTTGACCAAACAATGCAGACGAAGACTGCGGGATGTACCGACATACACACAGCAGAGCACACAGACACACAGCAGAGCACAGACACACAGCAGAGCACAGACACACAGCAGCCCACAGATACACAGCAGACACGCAGCGGAAGACCGGACACACTAAACAGACGTCAAACCACGCGACCGCAGATCCCCCCCCCCCGGACACACGTCAGGCTGGATAGCAAAGCAGCCCTGACGCAACGATTCGCCGGGCGCACACCCAACCCCTGCCGTGTAAATGAAGCAAGGCAACGTGACCGGGTGTCGTTCGGACGGTGGCTGCAGACCGGCAGGGGAGTCCCACTGTCGACTGGCTCGCGAGAGAGGCAGGGGAGTGTCCGTGGCTGGGTGGGTGGCGAAGTTGGTGTGGGGTCGTGCCCGTGCCTGGTTTGGCTATTGGGTTAATGTTTCGGACGAGGACTTGTACCGATTTCTCCAGGATAAAGAATTATTCTGATGCTGTACTCGTGCCTGGTTATCTAGTTGGACATGGGCTAGTAATCTTGCCCAGTTGGCTAGTTGGTTAAGGAGAGGGCCAGCTGTTAGGACTGGGCGAACGATAGGTTGCCGAGTTGGTTTGCATTCTGACCACAGGCATTGTGGTTAATGCAGACACGATTCCTTGTTAAAATCATCCTCGTTAAAAGTTTCAGTTTGGTGTTCTAACATATGAACACCTGTTTTGTTGCCAGAAAAAAGGGGAAAAACCTATGATCATATTTTGGTACTGGCAAAGGAGGTCCCATGATGGGTAAATGTCGTCCCATAGGTGGAGTTTGACTTCTATTTTAGGAATTGCGGGTGCATATAATTAATCTAGTTTTCATTTTAATTGTAAACTATTGAAAATACATGTATAAAGGTGTCCAATTTGGGCGGTGCGTTGCCCCCCCCGCCTCCTCCGGCCATGCGTAGTTGTATGGATTGATCTCGTAGTCGTGGCTGGCCAGCTCGTTGGTCAGGGTCATGGGGAAGGTCTTCGTACTCTCGGGGCTGGTCGGCGAGCTGATTAAGGGGGTGCAGGGATCACGTTTCATCGGCTGGTGCGCTCTCGTCTCCCTCTACCCTGCACCCCCCCCCCCCATCGTCACCCATCTCATGTCCCAAGGTGTTTGGCCACCTCTCACAGTCGGCTGGAGTAGCTTCCAAAACCCATCATCTCCCAGGCGCACTGGGAGAAGGCGCGTGCGTGCATGCGTGGTACATTACGATGACTGAGATCACCCACAACGCGGTTGACGCACACGAGACACTGCACACAGTCCCGCGAGTCTCGCTGCGTGTTGGTTTCATCTTGTTGTTGTCGTCGTTCTTGTTGTTGTTATTGTTGTTGTTGCTGGTCGTGAATTCACAAGCGGTGGTGTGGGGCTGCCTCCTTGGCCGGTCTCCACGCCGCCTCCACCGCCCGCTCGCCCGCCACTTTGATCGTCAACCTCACGCATTTTATTTTTTTCCCTCCTCCTCCTCCATCATCATCAATCATCCGTGGTACATCTCGAGATGTATTACGCGAGTTCAATAACGTCGCGTGAAACGGCAGCGGCGTGCGTGTGTGGGTGTGTGTGGGTGACGCACCGATTACTAAATTGTTAACATTTATGAAAGCAGACGTTACGAAATATTAAGTACACATCATCACCCCGATGCTATATATATTCTCAGACGCAACACCCCCCGCTCCTCCGCCCCCCCTCCCCCCCTCCAAAAACAAACAAATAAACAGCTCTTCTTGACTTAAAACTTTCGTGACTGCAGAAATTCATATTCTTGGTTCTTTCGGTAAAGTCACGTAGACAGAAAATACAATAAAAATGAAAAATTTATTCAAATTTAAAATAAAAGCAAATAAACCACGACGTTTCGATCGCAACACAAGCGGTCTTCATCAGGCGGAGACCGCTTGTGTTGCAATCGAAAGGTCGTGGTTTTTATTTTTGTACATATTAATGTATTTTTTAATTTTAATTCTATTGCATTTTTATTTTCTATCCACGTGACTTTACCGAAAGAACCAATAATATAGACAGCTCAATAATATAGACAGCTCTTCTCTTGTAGCTACACATCGACAGGCTGAGTTGTCCCCTGGCTGACCGACACGTGGTGTCACCAAGCCCGGGGAGGGAACTGGGGGGTGCTGTCGTCACGGCCACGGCAGGGGATTGAACAGAGTGCGAAAGTGACCCTGCCGTGCCGTCGCTCCGGCACGACCCAACGTCATTTGAAAGTCTTTATCTGGACGTTCGACGATTCATCCCTCACCGCAATCCCCCCCCCCCCCCCCCCGTTCGACCTGACGGCGATTTGGTTTAACCCGTCATCGAATGTTTACGAAATAATACCTGGAAATCCAGCAGCACTGTTTGTAAATCATTTACCTGACTCTTGCTGATTAAGTCCGCAAAGGGTGAGATCGGTCGGTCCGGTCTTTGCCTCCGTAAGCAAATGCTGTTATGGTTGTATAATAATAATAACGGAAGAACGGATGGCCAATGGGCCTATGGACTAAGCCACTTTTGACTTTGTATATACGGCACGTGGGTATACTTGCTGTGCGTGCGGAACGTAGGATAATCGATTGAGTCCGTGCCCCACAACGCTGCACTACGGCGCTCCTACTCAGAGAAACGAGACCCTGCATCGCAAACCAATCCCTGCATCTCGAGCAGCGACAGGACGAGGGAGCTCTTTGTCAATCCGAGCAGAATGTTCCCTGAACATCAGTGTACGCAACGCGGGAAACAAAGACTGCGTCTTTAAGACATCTTAAAAGCAAAGGTGCCTGGGACTATACAGGATGATCCATCGATTATAGATACCCCACTGATTTGTAGAGAAAAAAAAACTCGTATTTATAATACGCTAATGAGAGCGATTGCCCGAACCTTCTCTTACTGCATGGGGGTTCCCCCCCCCCCCCCCCTTTAAAGGCAGTGTGATTGACTAATGCGCTGATTGTTTTTATTGTTGTGGCTACGTACGGTGCGAAAGAAGTTCAACTCACGTTGCAGGCCAATCACTGCGCGCGATGCTGGCCAAAGAGAGTAAAAACATCGAATTACGTGTTTCTTGAGGATTGGTGGAGGGGGGAATATGTAGAGGCTTTGACGCAAAAAAATGCTGCGCCCTCCAACGATGTCCCCCGAATGTTTCAGTCAATTTAAGAGACGGGCGTGGCCAAGGCAGTACGAGTGTGGCCAAGCAAGTCAAACTAGGGACCATCAAAGTGAACCACTGCAGTCTGCGCTCCTTCAGCGGATGAGAAGGAGCGGCAAAACTACACGAACTCCCTCCCTCTCTCTCTCTCCTGAAGCCCTCTCGTCGTGGCCGACGGACCTCGACATTGGCATCGAGCTCCTCAACATTTCGCTGCTGCCATACGCAAGAGGAGAATATTAATTGTTTTAGTGGGGTATCTACAAATGGATCGCAGTGTGTCTTGCAAGCAATTCCGCTAAACTTGTTTATTTAGCGGCAAGCCGATTGTGATTAAACACAACTCTAGTGTTTCTTTTCTTTCAGATTTCCACTTTGTACATGTAACACTCTGTAAACGTTTTAAAACAAAATGTCTTAGTAATACCATATTCTCCGAAATAAAAGACGCACTTTTTTCACCCCCTATTAATTAAAAAATAAAACTTAATAGGTGCGTCTTATAATCCGTTAGCTGTGTGTGTGTGTGGATGTAGATACCAGATTTGTGGCACTTTATTACCACCCGGGGCAGGGGTTTGTGGGTGCGTCTTACTTTTCCAGAGAATACGGTAACGACAGCCAACAGTGAGCAACTGCGACAACGCCGAAAACAAACAGGACAACATCAACAATAGAGTTCTAAGCTAGGATAACTAATAAATATTTGGAAATATAAGTGCTGTACAGAATACCTTTCAAACGAAATTATTTTGTTGTGTTTTTCAAATGTTTTTTTTTTTACAAATAGCAACCGTATATAACTTATAATTAAAATGATCCAAATATACACATAGCCATTTTTTTATAATTCTATACTGTATATATACTGTGTACACACACACTACTCATAGTAAGTACTGTACTGCATACTTAACCGCATTTAAAAAGTGCATTCATCATTTGTAAAGAAGTGGTTGCGGAAGGAGAGGAGATGGTTTGTATAATAGGGTTGGTGGGTCGATGAGTGGTCTGGTGCTCACTGGTCGCCAGGCATGTTTCGATTAATCGAGCGCTCGCGATTGCAACAGCGTGCATCGATCGGATTGTGCGGCGTGAGAATCGATGATTTAATCTGGACACATGGCGACTGTGGCGAGCGAGGCAGAGAGACAAACGATACGAAGGAGACAGTACCAAACGAGACGCGACAAATCATCGGTTCTTGAATCGAATCATAATTTGATTCGTTTGTAAAAAAAAAAAATCCTCTGTTGAATTTGTTCCCATCTCATTCGCGTTGGCTCATTCGTTTGTATTGCCCGTCTCTGACATTTGTCCCATTTAGCCTAAATGAACGTGAGCGTGACATTTTTCATGGAATAGGCATCGATCGCACGCAATCTATTTTCACACGTAATGATTACATATGCATGTGTCAGGAGCGAATGAACGTAACATTTTTGTTCATATATATAAATTGATCAATCGATTAATCGTTTCGTGCCCATTAAAGTGTGATAAATCCTCCACTGGGGGGCGATAGAGACCCGCAGACGGGAGCCACGTGCCCGAAGTCGGTTAACACGAACGCAGTCCAAATGTTGAACTTGCCACTCAGGCTACCGAACCTACCTACCACTCGTGGTCGATAAACTTTCGTGGTACCGTTTAATTTACATGGGCACTTGAGTTTATACAGCATCGAGTGCGACCAATTCTTCTGTTGTTAGATCTGTTTTCCCTTAGGTACAGCCAGTGTAACAGGATGAGTGGCGGGGGGGGGGAAGCGATGGAAATTCCATATTTTCATGGCGATGGCCAGACTGATCATAAAACCCACCACTTGACTTCCCACGAAGTGGTGATCGTTTTAACGGCCTCAAAGGGATGATGGGCTGCAATGGAACCCTGAACAGTGGGATGTAGAGTCAATCAGGATGAGTAGAATAAATACAAATCATAAAAAATGTTCACGTGTTTACCGAGAGTCTCAAGACTTCTTTTGCTAGGCGGGTCCTGCTTTACATTGGGATGTTTGGCCAAGTCATTGTTTTTTTTAATGACGACTTTTTGAAATCAATTCGTGTGGGAGGAAAACCGGGAGTCCCGGGCGAAACCCCACCACCACCACGCACGAGGAGGGCATCACCCTCCAACGTCCTACACAGACGGCTTCAGGAATGCCACCCACTTGCTGCACTGCAAACCGCCCGGTGGGGCAACTTGAGTATATCGCTGCCGGCTTTGGGGAATTTCGCAGGGAGCTCTGCGTGATAGACCAACCCTCGGCCTCCAATGCGATGTCTCACGGGCGTGCCCCACCACGCCAGGCTTGGGTGGTGTTGGATAAGAATGCGTCTCTGGGCTTAGCGGGGCTTCTGTGCAGACCGGAGCTGTGTGTGTGGTCGTGTCAGTGTGTGTCTGTGCGCATCTGCGTCTGTATTCCGTATGTATGAATGTGTGTGTGCGCGTGCGTGTGGTGGGGAGCGCTAGTGTAGCGGTTAGCGCGCCGCGCTACGAACCCGGCTACCCAAGTTCGATTGCCGCTCACGGCCAACACCAGTGACGATTATCTGAACCGGTCCTGGGCCTCCCCTAGGTCGACTCAGCCTCAAATTAGTACCTGGTGCGATGTGTAAACATCACCGTTTGGGAGACAAAGGTGGCCGTGCGTGATGCTGGCCACCCACCCCCTTCGTATGCGGTTCCGGCCTTCATAGGTGATCGTGAACAGCACTTGCCCCAACAGTCTGTTATAGGCTATAGGGGGGATGTTTGTCTTTGCATGAGTATATGTGTACATTTGTGTGCACGTGTCACTAAGTCTGTGCGTTTTACATGCAAGTGTGTGTGAATGTGCCGTGTGTGCTTATCCTGTACGTAGTATTTGTACGTGCGTGTGCGTCGCACATATATACGTGCGTGTTTGTCTATATGTCCTATCCCCCCACATCATCGCCCCATAAAAATATCAAAACCCCGACAGACGTCGGGTTCGGGCAGCTAAAAATCCAGCGTATTTTCCAAATCCTCTTGCATTATATGTTTTAAACAAATATGAGCGGCTATAATAACCGTGTCGGAGTCACTGAGCCGGAACCGCTCAGAGCCTGTGTTCGGATCCAGGTTTCAGCCGCCCGACCATGATTCAACCGAGGTTCTCGAGCGTAGACTCACCGACTCATGTAAAGAGACCGATCAGTGGTAGATCGAGACCCACCCATAGACTCGCAGAGAGACTCGATAACTCAGCTGGAGAGACCGAAAGAGGCCAGTCTAGTCGCCACGGTGGTGCCCCGATGTTAACTACCTCTCCCCGTGGTCTCGTGGATTTTTCTCCATGTCCTCCAGTTTTTCCCTCCAGATTTAGAATCAATATGCGTTTAGAGTATTTGGCTGCTATACATTTCCACGTGATAAGCCACTTCGTTGAGCTTTCATTTGTGGCTTCTAAAAAGAGCGATACAGCTCAGCGGACCTTACCTGGCAACATTTATTTTTTTATTTACTTTATAGTTTTTTGTTTGGTTTGCAAAAACAAAGTTGTGATTAAATGGGTTCTCAAGCATAGCCAATTGATGATGGTCTCAGTCCAGTCACCACCGATGACTGCAAAATGTAATTTTTTCCCATCGTGTTAAACTTGTGGGTGGGGGGGGGGGTAAAATAATTTTCCAAAATGAAATAGTTTTTTATGTGATTGCCATGCGGCGAGGAACGCGTCTATAGTAGCAGGGCACGTGAGGCATTACAATGCCCCCCTCGTGCGAACAAAGAGGGAACCGCAGTGACCTCAGAAGGGCAGTAGTTCTATGACATGATAATCATCATGATCATCGTCATCGTCGTCGTCAATGATCCTCGTCCAGGGCCGTTCCCCGACACGAGGTGACGCTACACTGCTCGATGCTAGAATTCCCAGAAAGGAATATCCACATCTCACGGCAACTCGCTACTAAAATCCCGATCGGGTTACACTCAGGAGAAGCAAAAAATAAAGAACATCAATTATGTTGTTTTGATTTTACACGACACGTGGACAACCCAAAATGATCGGTCAGTAGCAGTCACCGGACATGCGTAGTCCGTTACCATTGGGGACAAGTGGGTTTTGTGGGAAGGGTGTGAGTAAGATGGCGGTCGGACGTCTTGTCCTTCACAAGCCTCACTCGCCTCGCCTCCCCTATCACGTCGGCTCGTATCTAAGAACTGCCGTGTCCCATTATAAGTGCCCTCGCATCTTGCCACATCAACGTTACCGAGGCAAGTCAACTCCACCCATCGCCGCCACCGCCTCAGCCCGCCACCTAAAAAAGGTGTCAGGTCTCCGGACACCTTACGTCTCTTTGTCTATCTCTCGAAGTCTTCCAATCCTCTCATCGTCGTCGTCATCATCATCATCATATTCTTCTCCTCCAGATCATCGCGGACAAATTGCAGCGAAATGGAATCACCGATTCATGAGCAACCACGCGATGATTTGGCGACAGTTGTAAAGTCGATGGCTGTGTTCGGGTGGTCGATGTTCTTCATCAGAGAAGTGGACCTTCATCGTAGGATTGTAATCTTCATCGTAGGATTGTAATCTTCATCGTTTGGAGCCGGAGGTGATTGTGGCTGATGTCTGCTCACTCCATCGAGGCCCCCCTAGGCCACAACTTCATAGTCCAATCAAGCTGTGAGAACCCAAACGCAAACACACACACGCATACTCCACCATCTCTTCCCAATGCTGGTGGCATCATCATCAATTCCCAATCACCATCATGAACTTTGGTCTATCTACTGCTGCATGAAGTCCTCCCCATGCCGTGCCAGTGATTGCGATCTTTGTTGTTGTTCACCGCGCTGGTTCCGCGATGCCACCACAATCAGCGTCAACGCTCATGCATCCCAACTCTCTGATCTCAGATTAACACGTGGGCTTTGATCTCATAGCTCCATCGCAACATCGGCGCTAGTTGACTTCTCGGGCGCTCTCCCCCCACCCCCCTCTCTCTTCTCCTCTCCCTTTGGCTGCCATTCCATCACCAGTCTCTTCCATCGGCCATCATCATCCTCACCACCACCACCATCACCACCCCCGCTTGCGACGGCGTGTCCCACCAAAGCCCACACCTCAGCGTTGCCTCGAACAGTCAAAACGCGACGGGGTTCCTCGTCCGCGTTCCGTTGAAGGGGGCCATCGCGCCTACGCCGGGTGCTCGTTCTCCCCGCCGATGCGTCTGGGCAGGAAGTGCGTGACCGTCAGAGCCAGGGACACCCGGCCGCCCCTCTTGCTGCGCCCTCCCTTGCTGAGGCCGATGTACATCCCGGCGTGCTCCCACGACTCGTAGGCGTTGTAGTTGTTGGGCAGCAGGATCTCGCGGAACTTGCACTCGTCGCTGAAGTTGGACTGCGAGCGAGAGAGAGAGAGAAAAAAAACGTGCAACCGTCCGCGTCAAATTATTCCAACCTCCCGTCTTTCGGAGACAATACTCCCCCGCCACACCCCCCCCCCCTTCTTTATCTTTACCGCAAGTCCTCGCTTTACATGCGGTATTCACACAACGCGTCTTCACAATAACGCGGTTCTTCCATTAGGGAATGCTTTTTGCGTAAAACGCACCGTTATTATAACGCGGAACGCGCCCTGTTATCACACGGAACGCGTCCCGTTATAACGCGGAACGTACCGCATTATAATGCAGAATGCGCCCTTTAAATTGCGAAAGCCGCCCATTATAACTCGAAACGCGCCTGTTATATAACGCAGTTTATGAGCAGGTCGATGACGAACTACTGTCTTGTGCTGCACGGCCGAGTAGATACAGTGTATGGAATAATACAGTAACGCGACGGCATACCCTCGAGATATTTGTCCCGCCATCATACCGTGCGCGCGTGTGCGTACATCGTCAAACTTATGACAGTATCATTCACGGCGAAATTGTTTTCGCTTCACGCATCGACAGCTTGATACGAGGACTCCGCTGCACACGACGGGAACCCAGCACCCCCTTGAGCGAGCGGCACGTAGGGAGGGGGTACGTGGCCTGAGTTGTGCCTCCTTCCTGCGGCTCGTCATGAACACACAACTTTGCCAGCAGGTTATTTACGCAATTGCTGTCCGGCGGCGGGAGAGGTCACAAGAATGACACTCACATTCGGAGCAATCCTCATTTCTAAATGCCCCAAATGTCACGTCCATCATCCTTACGCTTGGCAAATTGCTGCCGCCACTCGGCCGCCCGAGTTCGATTCCCGCTCGCGACCACTTAGGGAGGCAAAGGCGTGGTGCTGGCGACCCACCCCCTCGTGTGCCGTGGGGGCCTTCAGTGGTGCTCGCTAGCAGCACTTGCCTCAAAAGCATGTTAAGGCTACACGGGGATCTTTGTCCTTGGCTTGTTGATAGTATACATTTGGGGAGTGCTGGCACAGTGGTGAGCGCACTGCATTACGAACCTGGCAGCCCAAGTTCGACTCCCACTCATGGCCACCGACACCAGTGACCATTTTCTGTCCCTCCCCTACGTCGACTCCGCATCAAATGCGTGCCTGGTGCGATGTATAAACATCGCCACTCGGGGTGGGGGGGGGGATACAAAATCAGCCGGGCGAGGTGCTGGCCACCAACCCCCTCGTGTGCCCTGCCAGCCTGAATAAGTTCTCGCTCCCAGCGCTTGTCGCAACAGCCTGTTCAAGGCTATACGGTGGGAGGTCTTTGTTGTATACATGGCAGTGGAGGCAGCAAAGCGAGGAAGAGACGGGGTGATGAGGCGGAGCGGTTGGGAGCGAGCGTGTGCGGACACGTGCCGCGGGGATGCCTTTGACGCAGCGCGCACACCCCCACTCTCAACTGCAAAGGTCATCGCCCGCCTGATGGAGCGGCAGGTGTTTGCCTTGAACATAACCGCACGGCGACAACTGCTCTCCGCCGCCGCCGTCGCTACACATCGTTGTGTCTGTCGCCCGGGGCCGCGTGTAAGCACTTGAGGATGAATGCCTCGACATTAGCGCTCGTGTTGCGAGTCGAAAGGTGCGAGTCTCGCGCGGGTCGGCAAAGGTCATGCCCGGGAGCGACGGCTCACAAAGATGACCCCCTAACCGCTCACTCTCACCCACCCACCTACCCACCCGCTCGCCTGCTCGCCCAACCGGCCATCCCCTCTCTCCCTATCTTGTCCCTCTCAATTCTCAAGCACAAGCACCGGTGCCTTTGTCAATCCACTGCTGAATGAAGGTTCACTGCATCGCGCGCTTCCAGATGAACTTCTGCGGCGTTCTGGAACGCTCTCGTTTCCGATATTAGGAAGCCACTGGAGCTTTTAAATCATCTGGATTTAAAACGAATTTCTTTAGAACTGGTTTAAAGTTTTTAGTTTGTTGTCCTTACCCCGCACCTCCGATTTGCACGGTTGGTTACGTACGGTGCAAAAAGGTTCAACATACATACAACGTTTCCCCACCCACCCACCCCACCTTCCTTCACTATGCTCGTCAGTGTGTGTTGGTGAAAGTGACGAAGTGAAGCCTGGGACCGGTTGAGATATGACTCGCCACCGATGTTAGCCGTGATCGGGACTCTTGTCACGAACCAAACCACCCCCAAATCTCTCGCCCCCCACCACCACCAACCTAATCCCCCCCCCCCAAATCTCCCCCTCATCAAGCTAACCCCCCCAATCTCCCCCCCTCCACCAACCAAACCACCCCCAAATCTCCCCCCCACCAACCGAATCCCCCCCCAAATCTCCCCCTCACCAAGCTAACCCCCCCAAATCTCCCCCCCTCACCACCAACCTAACCCCCCCAAATCTCCCCCCCCCTCACCACCAACCTAACCCCCCCAAATCTCCCCCCCCCCCCCACCACCACCAACCTAACCCCCCCAAATCTCCCCCTCCCCCCCCCTCACCACCAACCAAACCCCCCCCCAAATCTCCCCCCACCCCACTCCCCACCACGTATCACTCACCACTGAACTAACAACACGAAACGACGCAATGTCCGACTCCACAAATAGACGAAGGAGACATCACGGCGACGCACTCCGCTGCTCTTGGCGCCGGTTCTTCCCCATCTCCCTTGACCCACCTGGACGTGGAGGTTGTCGTTGTTTCTCTGCAATCTTACATCAGCAGCCGTGCGAACGAAGAAGACGCGACCGAACTTCAGTGGCGAGTCATGCGCGCGCGCCTCTCCCGGACGTCGAGTAAACCTCCACGCGCGACCGACGTGGCGCGGCGACAGGCCTTCATCTCGCGGTGGGATTGACCAAGGGATGAATGAACGTGGTTCACGATCTTATTTTATTTTTTAGCACGACCGTAGGCTTGCAAAACAAAGCGAATTCAACCTCTAAATCGTTCCCTTCGGTCACGATGGAATCGCCGTCGGCCGCCACCGCGTGTGCCATTCATTGTGCGGCAGCCAATTAACGAACGCTCAATTAAACAGGCATGCGGCCCAGGGTGCACTGTAGGAAACCCGATCGCTGACGTGAGAAGAGCGGAGTTGGGGGAGAGGATCGGGTGGGGGGGAGGTGAATCAGCGGTGGGAAGAGAGAGAGAGAGAGGGGATTCGGCGTGATGCGTGAACGACAATTCCACAGCAGCGCCCGCACGCTGTGAGACAATTTTTAAGGGTTCGACACCGGAGCAGGCGTGGCCAGCAGTGCCGGACTATCCTAGGAGCACGAGTAGCTACACAAGTAGCTACATATGTAGTAGCTACATGTGTAGTAGCTACATGTGTAGTAGCTGCACGTGTAGTAGTAGATACACGTGTAGTAGCTACACATGTAGTAGCTACATATGTAGTAGCTACAGACCCCGCACTTTCAAGGACCCCACGCTAAATGCTTTCAAGCTATCAATTCCGGTTCAGTGATTCTGCACTTGCTCTATTACTATAGTACTATACCGCCTTCAACTTTTATGAACGACTGGGTGTTTAAGGTTAGCGATTTGACGTATTACCTGGCTGTGTAGCAAATGAAAAACTACAATTACTCGACTATGCAAGTGAAAACATGTGTTTTAATATTTACGTTTTTTTTTATTTAGGGCCCCTTTATAACATACGCTACAGGCCCCGCACGAGCTTAATCCGGCACTAGTGGCCAGCGATTCGAGTCTTGCGAACGATGGTGACAAACATATTCAGCAGCTGAATGGCAGTGTCGAGGTCTGCTGTTTGCCACGACCAGAGGGCTTCGGGAGAGAGGAGTTCGTGCTGTGGAGTTCGTGTAGTGGAGTTCGTGTAGTGTTGCTGTTCCTCCTCCTCCTCCGTTGAGGGTTTGCGCAGATTACGGTGGTTTACTATAAGGACCATAGTTTGGGTTGTATGGCCACAATCGCCCTACTGTGGTTTGTCTTTAATGTATCTCTTGTATCTCTATGATTCTCTACGTAGCTCTATGAGTCTCCATGTATCTCTGTTTGTCTCTATGGGTGTAGTACCACGTGGTCCAGAGTTCGGGGTTGTATGGCCCCACTCGCACGACACCACTGCCACGTGTGTCTTTAATTTTTGCATTCACGTAGGGGATGTGCGCATCGGCCTGGTGATGTTTACATTGCAACGACAGACGTGGCAGACGTTGAACTTGCACCTCCGATAAGCACGGTTGGCTACGTGCGGCGCGAAAGAAGTTCAGCATACATACGACATTACATGAGAATGTGCAGCCACTTGTCAATCCACTGCCCATGACTGATTCATCCTAAACTCACCTCGATCTCCTCCTTCGTCCACGGTAAAACTTCAGTGGTATCCATTTATTGATTTGGCCAATAAGAGTGAATTACTTGATTAGCCCACTCATTTCAAATTATTGGTCACGTCATTCACTGTTATTTGGGACCATGAAGGGATTAGAATCAATAAAGCTACGCAGTCCCAGGCGGTACCAAGAAGTGAGACATCTGGTCTGGACTTATGGACTGCATACCTCGGAAGCTGATGAATCAATTTACCCATTGGTTAAATATGTCACGTGGCAGGACCCTCCTGACAGAGAGTCTTGAGCCTTGGTGAGGCTTCCCTGGATAACGAAAGTGCACACTTTTTGAAAAATCAATTTACAAAGTGGCACACTTGAACTCACGCTCACACCTATTCACAAATGCACAGTCACTCAGAAACAACCTCACTAAGTGACGGACATTTTCACGCTCAGATACAAAGACCCCCCCCCCCCCACCCCACCTCATAGCCTTAACAGACTGTTGGGGCGAGTGCTTAGCGAGCACCTATGAAGGCCGACTGGGATAGGAGAGGGTGGGTGGCCAGCACCACGCCTGGCCACTTTTGTCACCCCCAGTGGCGATGTTCACACAAAAATGGCACCAGGTACTAATTTAAGGCTGAGTCGATCGAGAGGAGGCTCAGGAGCGGTTCAGATCATGGTCA